TTCCATTCTGATAGAGAAAAAAGCTTATTAGCCTCCATTTTGACTGCATGCTCTTCATCCTCATCCTTCTTTTTCTCCCCCTTATATTTGGATGTGCCCGAGCTTCTTTTGGTGTCATCCTCCAAAGTTCACTGCGAGAAAGCTCTTTGTGTTCATGGGTGCCCATGTCCTTAATACCTGAAGTTCTCTAGTGATGAGGGGGACTGCATAGCTTCTGGAATCAAACTTCCTAATTTCAAATTGGGTCTCCAGCTGTGTGACCTTGAGAAGATCCTCTGCCGGTTTTGTACTTCAGTTTTCTCATTTGTGAATGAGAAGAGTATTATTTGCCTCATTGGGCGGTTGCATACAATGCTTAGGAAGCACACCACCAATGCTACCTGTAATTATTAGAATCATTATCTTCCAAAAGGGATGTCAAGACATTTTATTTAATTTCCCAAAGAGGACACTGGCACTGGTCCACCAATGTGGCAGCTCCAACATGTGATTAAGAGGGCTTTAACCCCCATCCCATGCCTAACAGACCCTCCCAGCCATGCCACTGTGAATAACCATCTAAGGAAAATCAGCATACTTGCCAAGCATGTGAAAGTTCAAGAGAAATCCTATCTCTCTCCTTCAATCAGAGTGCCATCTGAAGGCCCTCTTCTGAAAAATCTGGCATTTTTACTGGTTCTAACCAAGCTGACACTGCAAATTCATAGCAACTCCCTGCCCTGCTACAGGACAGTATTATAGTGTTCAGTAACCCCGACTATAAGTCTTCACTGCTCCTAAATAGGATTTATAAAGTGTGACTTTAAGCAATATAGCAAAGACAATTTTATCTGAGGGAAATTATTTTTTTTTACTAACAATTTAAAATTTCTTCTTTAGTGTCTCAAAATGATTTAAAAGCTAATCAATGATACAATCCCAAATCCATCTGAAGACAAAGAATTGAGAAAGGAATCAGAGCCACTTTTAATTAGGAAAGTGGTTGCTGTGACCCATTAACCTCTAAAGATTTTTTTTTTTTTGAGACACTGTAGTTCGGTCATTTGTCTTTGGCATCAGAGCATACAACATTGCTTTTGCTTTTCACAAATTAATTCATTTAGGCCTTTACATTTGTCAGACGTTCTGGGAAACTTCTGCCAATGCTTTGTTGATTAAAGGATGTGTGTTTGGAAAGTGGGTGGAGAAGAGGGAATTTATAATTCTTAAAGTCAAAGAATGATTTACAATGCAGACTGTTACCTGAATCAATCAGTATATCATCGAAGGATAAATGAAATATTAAGGATTAGCGAGAGATAGGCACTGGGTCTTAAAATCTGTGGATTAATTGGCTCAATAATATGGAAAAGTCTACGTCTTTCAGCAGAACTTCTGGAACTCACAAACATAAATAGGACATAGAAAACTCATTTTGATTGTGTATTTTTTTAAAGAACTTTTGAAATACATAATTTGTCCACAATAGCCTGGTGCTACTATCTCTATAAGTTACATACCTCATTTCCATCTAGTTCCCTCTAGTCAGCCCAATTTTGATTTGCTTTTGACTGTTTTATTAATTTATTTTTTTCCCAGTGAACACATTGGACACTTGGGAGGGCATATTTATTGTTTTAGGCACCATGCAATTTACTAAATGGCATTCTGGCTGTGGAAATGCTTGCGAAGACCCCTGGAGGGTGGTGGTAGAGAATTAAGTAAACACATATTGACCATCCTTTAGATGATGCTTTCTTATTTGGTTAATCTAGGGCTTAGTCTGTGCTGGTCCATCAGATTTATGATACATAAAACCGAAGATTTTTTTGTGTGTGTGTGCCTCCCTGGTAGTTTTAAAAGCTATGCAATGGGAAAAACTGCTTTAAACAAAGCCTCATTTTTAAAGAAGGCTGAGTACAGAGTGGAATTCAAAGAATTTGGAAAGAGGAGAGGTGAAAGTGGTAGCAAACAGCTTTTAAAAAGCCCTGGGAAATTTAAGAAAATAAGGCACATAATGGAAGTAAAAGATAAATCCTGTCTGTCCCATTGGGAGATGCAGAGACCAGAACACTACTTTAGCAAGGATGTGTTGAACACCTACTAAGTACAGGACTTATAAAGAGATAGAACTTAACTATCTCTGGGGTGTCCAAGGTGCAAAACAAAATTCTTTTTTTTTTTAATTTTATTTATTTGTTAGAGAGAGAGTGTGTGCTTGTGCGCAGAGTGGGGAAGGGGAGAAGCTGAGGGGAAAAACAATGAGACCCTGTGCTGAGCATGGTGCCCAACCTGGAGCTCTGTCTCATGACCCTGAGATCATGACCTGAGCAGATAATCAAGAGTCAGACGCTTAACCGACTGAGCCACCCAGGCGCCCCTAAATGGAATTCTTAGATCAAGGAGGAATCGTTTTTCATGCCAGCCAGGAAACTTCATGGAGCTTTGTGCAGATCTTAAATTCCAAAAGGCAATGAATGTATTTCATTTTATTCAAACATTTGGGGACACAGAGTATTCTCCTGTGTAATTTGTTGTAAAATTCCACATTAAAAATGTTCATAACAGATTAGGTAATACCTAAGAGATGATTGAGGAAATGTTTATTTCAAAGAAAGAGGCTCCGGTTTTTGCTCCTGTCCCTAAGAAGAAAGTATGAGGGAAGAGGGTCAGATATTGGATACGGTGGATCTACGAGGTGGACCAGACCCTGGCCCAGGAAGCAGTGGGAATTCAGAGAAAAGGATGCTTCTAGCCACCTCTCAAAGATTTTGGTAGCTGACTTTATTTTGAGATTTATTTATTTATTTATTTATTTTTAATTTTTTTAAATTTTTTAATTTTTATTTATTTATTTATTTATGATAGTCACACAGAGAGAGAGAGAGAGAGAGAGAGAGAGAGAGAGGCAGAGACACAGGCAGAGGGAGAAGCAGGCTCCATGCACCGGGAGCCCGACGTGGGACTCGAGCCCGGGTCTCCAGGATCGTGCCCTGGGCCAAAGGCAGGCGCTAAACCACTGCGCCACCCAGGGATCCCCTATTTTGAGATTTAGAATTGAGAAACAGATGAAGCTAATATTGAGACTTCTAGCATGGGGGTTGATGAATGTCAGCAACACCAAAAGAAACGGGGTCATTTTGCTGGGTGGCTGGGGTGGGGGATTGGGAGATGAGAAAGCAGAGATAATGGATTTCATTTGACATACTGTGTCTAAGAGGCATTGCCTCATAGTCAGTTGGAAATACAGAGTGAGGTAAATCTGATAATTCTGGAAGGTGTAAAACAGACTATTATAGCAAAAAAAAAAAAAAAAAAAAAAAAACAAGGCTGGATACTGCTAAAACTTGGTTTCTTGTTCCTGTGGGCTAAATGTTGTGTTCATTCAGTTATTTAACTATACATACTATAGCCTCAGTATTTATTAAGCAGCTACTTGCTCTTAGATAAGTACCTCCCACCCCTGATAAAACAGCTAATATGTCTTCAGGTTAAAATTTGCCTAAAAATTTCCCCACTGGAATCTTGATAAATGTGTTCATTGTGCCTTTAGGTAACACTATAGATTATGATTGAGAATTTCTGGTATAGTTATATAGATGAGTATCACTGGCAAGACAAGTAACAACTACAAATATTATCATTATTTTTTTTTTCATTTTTGTTATTGCTAACATTTAGCATTATTGCGCTCACTAGTTTCCAGGAATCATTTTGTTTACATTAGCTCATTGAGTTTTCGTAGAGACCTTGTGACATACATATTATTGAGAGTACTATTTTTATCCTCCTCATATTAATGAGAATGTTGAGTTCTCATTCTTGAGTTAATATGAGGTTAAGGCATCATCCAGAGGTCACACAGCCAGTAAGAGACACAGCAGGAGGCAAACCCAGTTAGTGTAATTTTAGAACTTTTGAAGATTTCCCTGTTGGACTAAAAAATAAAGTATCATGAGTAATGTATCTACTAATTCTTGCATACGTAGTTATAAAGACCCTCACATTGTATACTCTAAGTTGGTAGGAGTCATTTTATCATTTTATTTTTGTCAGAAGTAGTTTGACAGATTGGAGCAGTATTTCTCTACTGGGGGAGAGTCCCCAGTCCCCCTGGCGGGGACACTTGGCTTGTGCCGAGGCATTTTTGGTTGTCACAACTGAAGTATGGGTACTGCTGGAATCTGGTGCGTAAAGGACAAGAATGCTACTATGATCCTGCAATGGACAACAGAACATGTGCAGTGTAATGAACATGAAGGGCCCCACAATAAAGAATTATCCCCTCCAAGTTGGCAGTGCTACCTAGATTGAGACCATACTGTGAAGGGAATCTGGACTGTAGTGAGATATTGGTGGCTCAGTATTACAAACAAAGGGCTTTCACCTTGAAGAAGCAGATTTGGGAGTGGGAGAAAGAGGTGAGGTAGATTCATCCTTCCATCTGTTCATTTGTTCATAGATTCGCTATTTATGGAGTATTTCCTGTGTATCAGGAATCATGTTGGAGAGCGATGGTGAGCACAGCAATAGGAGGAAGTGTCTCTTTGTGTGTGTGTGTGTGTGTGTGTGTGTGTGTGTGTGGTTTTTTTTGGAGAGAAGGAAGGAACAAGGAGTAGAGACAAAGCAAAGATGTGTGGCAGCTAAAACAAGCTAGGAGCGGGACTTTGTTTCCAAGAGCTAATGAACTATGTTCTTCTAACAGGGAGGGAAGTAACATGCTACTTTACAGGTCTAAGGAACATCACAGCAGACTAGCTCAGAAACCATATGGCACTGTCAGAAGAACCTGGGAACTTCTTTTTGTCCCATTTAGAACTAACTCAGACTGACCCAAGTGCAGGTCCGGGGTGGCGGGCAGCGGGGGATGTTCTCAGAAGTGCACTGGGTGGTGATAGAAATATGTATGTGCATGTGTGGATCAGAAAGGCCGAGAAGCTTGCATTGCTTTCAAGTTGCGCTGCTGGCCTGTGAATAGGTGCTGGCTTTGTTTTTCCAGTAACAGCCTTTTCTGTTTCCAGCAGTCCTATGCACCAGCTCCCCACCCCATGGCTCCTCCCAGCCCCAGCACAAACAGCAGCAGCAACAACAGCAGCAGCAACAGCAGCGGGGAACAGTTGAGTAAAACCAACCTGTACATTCGAGGCCTTCCACCAGGCACCACTGACCAGGACCTAATCAAGCTGTGCCAACCGTAAGTGCCCTCTGCTCCCTGCACCCGTTTCTCACCCCCACAGTGGCTCCTGTGCATTCAGTCCACACAGGTCTTGGTGTGGACCCCTTTATTGGTGCCTCAGTGAGGAAGAGTCTGCTATCCAAATGGAACTTAAATTGAAGATCTAAGCCCAGCTTATGTTTGTGAATGGAATCTTTTGGTTCGGGGAAGGGAGGTTCCTGAGCAGGCATATATGGGAGCGTGGGCAGAGATGCATGTATTGACCAAAAAGATGATGAGCAAACATTAGTTGGACCTTCATACATAATGTGGCTGGTGGAATCAGTGACAAATCTCATAAAGACAGCTGCTTTTTTTGGAGAAGTGTTAGCAAAGGAAATCTCAAAAACTTAGAAGCGGTAGATTTCAGGATGGTGACCTCCTGTGTTGCAAAGCTTTTCTGGCCAGGTTTTGATAAACAGAAGTTCAGCCAGGACCAGGTAATTGGGGAATTATAAAACTAATACTCTGGATTTCCTGGAAAACATCTCCTTCTACATCCAGTGAAGCTATTCCCCACCAAGGTCAAGAACCATACTCAGCAAGTAGTTTTGGATTTGCTAGGAAATGTGGTAGTGATTAAACACCCTTCCCAAATGTTTTTGTTAATCTCTTATCTACCAACACTTAGGTTATTAACTCTCTTATTTCTATGCAAATAAAAATATTTAAGTGTGCCCTCCAACTAAAATTAGTAATGGATAATGAGTTAAGACTCAAGGACCTGTGTTTTTATGTTGTTGTCTGATTATTTTTAAAGCAATATCAGTACCACTATTTGTCATTTGAATATGCCTTAGCTGGGTATTTTTAAATTTGGGGAAACTATTACTCAATTTTTCTTCTTCTCTTTTGCAATGCTTTCACAAGAAGGTTGAGAGGATATTTATTTTGTAAATTTTCCAACCTCTAAAATATTAGAAGAGGATAACAAAGTGGACAGTATTTATTTACCTTTGTTCTGGATTTTAAGATTGGGAACAAATATCAAAACACCAGGAAGTGACTGATTAACCAAAACACAAGTACATAACTATATATAATCAATTGACAAAGCAATATATGCAGCTTACAGTGGGCAGGGTGGAGGGGGCTGTTGTTATTGATTACCTTGATTTGTAAAGGAGGTAGGGCAAAACTTTGAAAAATAAATACTTATTTAAAAGCAGTTGTTTAAGCAAAAAAGAATATGCCAGGGCTAAGACATATAAATACATGTTAGATTTTGGTCTGTAAAAGGTTGGGGTTGAGAATGGAAAGGTAAATAACTTTTTCTTGTCGTCATTAGAAAAACCTAAACTATTTTGAAAAGTAGGGACTTCTGAAAATGGAAAAGATTGTGGAATTTGTTGAAAGCTTCAGAAGAAATATCTCTTAACAGATGCTGATAGGAAAAAGGGTAGCTATCATCTTTGACTCATGTTGGAATCTCATTTATAAAACTAAATATTGATGGGCTTAAGGAAGATTTTTTCTCTTTGCTCTATATCACTCAGTGTCTGAGAGTTTGTTGAAGCATAGATTTCTAGGCCCGAAAGATAATGGTTCACTAGGGCCCTGGGTGGAGACCAAGGATATCCCTTTCTATCAGACTCTGGTGTTGATGCTGCTGGTTTTTGAGAAGGAGCACTTCTCTCCTCAGTAATATGGAGACCACTGACTATTTCTAATACATAAAATTTCACTTAGTTTATGAAAGTAGTTGAGGTGGAATCCTGTGCATTAGAACCCACTGAGCCACTGTATGATTTTGCGGCAAATCAATCACTTTCCTTGAGTCTGTTACCTCTTATAAAAGTGTGGGTGGCCTCGGATTATTTCTAGGTGTCCCTGTATTACCAGCAGGGTGCTGGAGCTGCCTCTGACTGGTGCATTAGAATCAGTCATTGAATATTCAGGAATTCCACCTGTGATGTGTTATAGACTCTGGCTTAAAATCAGCCATGATGAGGTATTTATATCACAGGAGCCAGCAAACCCGACAAGTAAGGGCATTTTAAATTTTATCTTATGTTTTTGGAGAGCTGGCTTCTGGACACACCACTGTGTGTGTCTGTGTCCACTTTTTGATAGAATGTTGCCAGAAATGCGTAAATGGAAAATGTCACCGAAAAGCCTGTACTGGTATTTTTAACTCAGGAAAGAGATTTAGTGACACAGAGACATTATTTTTGATGAAACAAGTTCTGTTAATGTTCTTTATGGGCATCTGAGAAATCTAGAGAATGCTAAGAGTACAGAGGGTACTGGTTACTTGTTCATATTAGTTTTTTCTGGGTAATAAGTTTGGGCCCATGCTATTGTTATTATGAAAATGTTTGTGGGTTCTCCAGTTACTGAAGTGGTCTGGAGCTGGGGTTTATTGCTTAGACTATTTTTCCTAGAGACTTTTGGAAAACTGATGTGATCAAGCCACATAATGCAGTGGGAATAGCTGTGCACTAAGAGATCTGATTTTGGGTCCTGGCTCTGCCATCAACTGGGTGGGTGGCCTTCGACCAATGACTTGTTTTCACGCTAACTTTGGTTTCCCCCACGTAAAAAATAATGGGTTTAAACTTGATAATCCTTTAAGCTTCTTTTACTCTAAAATTCTAATATTTCATTGAGGCTCTCATTATTATTTAGTGGTAAAGGCTACTCTTGAATACTTTTTTATCTTCCCCCAATCTCCTTTTGTAGTGTTGGTAGGGCCACAGCCTGAGTTGGTTCAGCTGTGTTGGTAAGACCTGATGTATGGGGATGCTTGTGGTAAGGGACTGATGCAGGTCACTTGTAAAATCATGTTTCCTCTCTTGTGGAGTTGGTCTTTTGCATTGGTCATTAGTATTTTACATTAGTAGTCTTCTAAAGATTCAAGTTATTTTATATTCCAATTATTTATCCAATACCTTAAAATACCTTTACCTATAAACAGAGAGTATTTGTAAGTTTAAATGAACTTCCCATCAAGATTGATTTTTCATGTTTATTTCTATGAGATTGTAAGTATTTTAGAACTAGTATTTCCTTAAATTATAGGAAATGCAGTATTTGCTAATATCCATAGTAATAAAATAGAAAGAACAGAGTTATACCAAAAATAAGCATAGATATATCAAATTATCTGGTATTAGAGTACAGTAATCCACATTAACACTAATGAACAGCAAGACAATGATATTAAAGGAAAAAAATTACATTACTTCTCAATGTATAATCTGAGAGCAAATTCTTATTAAGGGATTCCATTCACATTCATTATCAAAGCTTCTATGTTAAGATCACAAGTAAAATTAAAAAAAAAGAAGACAAAACTGAAAAAAATGATTTCACTCTATGGGAAACTTCTCTAGTTATGTTTCGATGAGTACATCGTATTGTGTGTCTTATAGGAGATGCTATAGTTAAAGACTTTGTAATATCTATCTTAAGAAATCTCAAGGACCTTTATTGTCTTCTCAATCAAGAAATATTTACAGAGCACCTATGCTGCATGCCAGATACTGTGCTGAAGATTCAGTGATGAGTAAATTTAGACAAAGGCCTTGCTTTAGCAGAGTTTATATTTTACTAGGGAAAATAGACATCACTGAAGTAATCATATATTTTGATCTAAAATTGCAACTAGGAGTGCCTGGGTGGCTTACTGGGTTAAGTATCTTTTTCCTGATTTCAGCTCAGGTCATGATCTCAGGGTTGTGAGATAGAGCCCAGCATTGGTCTCCATGATCAGCAGAGAGTCTGCTTCCCTCCCTCTCCCTTGGCCCCTCCCACTCTAAAAAAACAAAACAAAACAAAAGCAAAGACAAAGACAATACAACTGTAAATTAAAAAAAAAAAAAAAAAGAGGAACATGGAACCAAAAGTGTTTTTCACATGGGATCTGTCCTAGTTAGGGAAATGAGCAAAGGAATCTCTGAGAAAGCGACAATTGAGGTAAGCATCAGAAGGAAAAATAGGTTTTACAAAATGAGGAAGGAAGATAAGAGCATTCCAGAGAGAAGGAGCCTCATGTGTGTAGAACCAATGGCTGGATGGAATGTGGCAAGAACAAAGGGCTGAAAGAAAGCCAGTGTGGTTATAGCAGAGAGGGGGAGAGAGATAGAGTATGGGACAAAATGAATTGGAAATATGGGATAAGGCGATTTCTTTGTGGATCATGTTAGGAAATGTGTTTTATATTAAGACATTATATAATATAATGTAATTATATAATTAATTATACAATTATATTCATGGGATGGGTTATTTGTTGGAAATCATAGGTGGAATAGTTGGATTATATACCCTTTATGCTTATCTCAAGAAGAGGAGATGGAACTGGGGAAAGATAGACTTAGCTTGAGGAGAGAGAGAGAGAGTATTGCAACATTTCAACCAAATAAAATTTTGGTAGTATAATCATTTTTTACATATTAAGCTATATTTCCTCTCTCAAAAAAATTGGTAACTTCTATGATACAATTGTAAACATGCCCTTGAAACACATTGAAATTGCTCTTTAAAAAATAAAACCACATATTTAACATAATATAATTTTAAATTGAAAAAAAAATCATAATGTATTTATATTTTCCACATCTACAATATATTTTATCTAACCAACCTCAAGACTTTTAACTAATTTTAACTAACATGTTGCTCTGAGAAAGCTCTGGCCTCTACTTCCACATGGTTATCTAATCTGGCCTTAATGACCACATGATGCATGTACAGAGTGAATTGTTCTTCTGTTTCAAAGTGAGCACGCTACTGCTAAGGCCACTTCTTGAAACAGAATGAAGGGAAAGGAGAGAAACTCTTGGGTAGGTGCACACACATTTCTAATCATCACCAGAAGACCAGAAAGTCTGCTGTCCTGCCCTTCATTCTTCTCTGTACATTTTCTGTTCTCTTTGCTAAAATCTGACACCCTAGCATTGCTCCCTTTAAAATGAAGCTGTAAATGTCACTTTAGCATTTAACAAGGGAGGAGAAATGCCCCAAATGAAAAGCCA